TCGACTTACATAAAATCATAAACCAAATGAAGATACATTCTTTGTGTTGAGTTAGATTTCTAATTATGATTGACTTATTATGTAATCTAGTTCACTCCTATATTCTATAAAATATCACATCTTCTTAAGAGTATAATATTATTGAATAGGTAATGTTAGGGGAACTAAATTTGCTAACTAAATAATGTGTCATCAATATGAATGAACAGATTTATCAAAAACTTAAGTAATAAACCAGTCATCAACTTCTATATTTATTAGTTTTTAAAATTTTATCTACAAATTTAATATTTATAGCATCACTCTTATTGTATAATAATAATAATAATGATTATATTGGGCCAACATCATGGCCTAGAAGGCTAGAAGCACTATCCAACCCAGTTATCTGACTCAACGTTTCGGCTTGGGACGAAGGCCGCTGAGCTTAATACGGCAACGGGATCAACGGCCTCTCAAATGATGGAATCCACGATACAAAACTTAACAACTAGAGCAATTATTCTGTGTATTTGGCACACGTTGTTGTAGTAGTGTTGTTACTTTTTTAAGAGAGAAATATCAATCAATTTTTTTTATAACACATTAATTAATACATTTTTTTTTAAATGTTTTCAATTATTTTAAAAATAATTTCAAACAAGCCCTATGATGTTCTCTATAACATTATATTATGAATGTACGAATGAGATCTTTATAATTATAATGAAGAAAGTAGAGAGTTGAACCAATAATTGAAATGTATACACGTTATAATCCCCTTAAGGAAAGAGCAAAGAGAGAAGAGAGAAATAGGAGACAAAGATTCGGAGGAGAGGTCTGTGAGGAGGACAGGAGCAAAGAGAGAAATGAGAGAAATAATCAGATTATGTGAGGGATAGAACCAAACTGGATTATCTTTAAAGTCAAAAACACGTTTTCTCTCCAGTTTCCCAAACTGCAAACACTCTTGCATTTTCTCTTTTGGTTGCAGGTTTGGTACTTTTGTGCTGCGATGTTTTGGTCATTTTCTCTAGTGTTGCTGCTTGGGTAGCTGCTGACAAGACTTTCGTGGTGGTAACAACAGTGAATATGACATTCTATAGTCAAATACTAGGATGTGGGCTTTAGCTTTTGCTTATATAATTAGACCAGACTTTGATGTATATGTTTCTCTCCAATGCATTGGGGTTGTAACCTTGTTTCAAAGTAATAAAATTCACTCTTCAGACCAAAAATAAAAAAAATCCCCTAAAGATTTGTTTAGCAGACTTGTCTTCAATCAATCACAGAAGTTAGTGTCCATAAATTCGTCTAAGACAAAATCATAATAACTTATAACCAAGTAATGTCTTAGTGTAATATTGTTATTATCTTTCGCAAGCTACCTTTGGCTTCCCATGTGTCACAACATTATGATTTTTCATAACCTCTCAAAGTTTTTAATGTATCGAAAAATTATAATGCAGATAATATTATTTGTTTAAAAAAGAGTAAATTGTAACAATGGTTCCTCAACTTTAATCAAATTGGAGCAATGATCCCTTAACTAACAATTCATTACTATTAGTCCCTTAACTTATCAAAATATGTAGCTATAGTTATTTTCATCAATTTCGTCAAAATTTTGTCAAAATAAATTATGTTGGAATAACCATTTATACAATTAGGGTCTCTCAACTCATTAAAGTGTGTAATTATGGTCATTTTCGTCAACTACGTCAAAAATTTTGTCAAAACAAATTATGTTGGAAAGACCATTGCTACAATTTGGCTAAAGTTAAGGGACTATTTCTCTAGTTGAATTAAGGTTGAGGGACCAATGGTAATGAATATTTAGTTAATGAACCATTACTCCAATTAAGTTAAAATTAAGGGACCATAGCTACAATCTACTCTTTAAAAAAATACTGACTGTAATGAATTTGTTCCCGATTGAATTCTGACTAAGTGCCTCGCTATAGAAGCATCTGGAAATATGTTATTGCCTACAAATTAATTTGTGTAGACATGTAGTAAAATAGATGTCAAATCAATGTACGAGTTAGCCGGATAACAGGAAATTTGGACCATACATGATGCATCTGAAGAAAGACATATCTCCAGCTCATTTTTGGCGCGGCTATATCTTATATCATATTGGTCTATGAACAATAATTAATGTGTCAAATCAACATATTTCGTCGCTAACTTATAATTATGAACATGAAAGCAATGCATGCATAATGTCACGACAAAAAAACTATCGCATCGACAATTAAGGGATAAATACACAGGTGTATGCGTATAATTGTATGTAAAAAAAAATACAGAAACAAAATTATATACAAATTATAGTACGCAAAGGAAAAAGAAAGAAAAACGACACTTAATGACACGACGCTAAACTTTTATGCATGACCACATGAACGGTAAATTTATAAGAGTAATGCTAAGAATATTAAGTTTGTAGACAAAGTTTTAAAAATTAAAAGACATGGAAGTTGATGATTGGTTTACTTACATGTGGATAAAGTTCTCCCTATTTTTATTAGTGACATATCATTTAATTTGAAAATTTAATCTCCTTAATATTACCCAATTTGTAATTGTATACAAACGACTGAATGCGAAAAAATCGCATACTCCATACAGATCAACAAACAACCTTTCCTTTTTTTTTTTAACGCGTCGTTGATCCCTTTTTTGTGTACAAGGGTCAAGGTCCAATTTTCTTTGCAGTGGGAGAGTGACCAAATGGTACTCAATGTTAATAAACATTTGAGCAATGAATTTAATTTACAAAATGTTATTTTTATTATCTATTTGTATTATATTTCCAATAGAGATGAGACTTATGGGTGCGTTTATTTGATTGGACTGTCTCGGATTAGATTAGCTTCAAAAACTATGTTGGACTGGCTTAGAATAGATTAAGTTGGACTAATTTAGTAAAACGTTTGGTGCATTATCAGACTAAGGAGAAGGATAATGAAAAAGTAATTAATCTTTTTAAATTTGTTAAAAAAATCTTTTAAAATTATAAAATCCAAAATATATATGATTAATAAATCTTCCATTGCATCCCCAACTTTATGATTAATAAAATGAGTGTAGACCAACTTCCGGTAAAATAAACGTTCAGTAACACATTAAAGTTTCAACATGTTAAGGCATACGTGGCATGCGACATGTGTTTGACAAATCGTACACATAAATGTGACTCATCAAAATCGGGCAAGTCATTAAGAAGGACTCCGAAACTCATCAAATGTTAATTGCTGGAGTAAAATCATGAACCGGCTCGCAAATCGAGTCCTTTTGTCAATTAATCAAGCCCACAATCAAGGCGAAATCCATCTGTAGGCAAGGCTTGGAGAGTTAAATACGAGGCTCCATGACAAACAAAAAGGACCAAAAAATCATTCACACCCAGACGCTGAAGCTTTGAAACTTCGAAGCTCTCAAACACTCAAACCTTCCAAACACTCAAACACTCAAGAAGACTTGTCAAACCTTCCATGTTCTTTGTCAAACCCGTGAAGAACCACCAATCACCCCTACACATGCCCATTCGTCTATTGCTAAGAGCCAAAACCTTGTGGCACCCGTTCAACCAAGATCAAGTCATCGCAGCTCTTTGATTAACAACACTACACACCTTACATTTCGGAGATCGAATCAAAGGATCAAGTTGCAAAGAGATTGTAACCCCACATTTACATTAATACAATTATTATTTTATGCATGTGTTCTCGTGTTATTTGTTATAGGATTTTCATGTTTATAATGAGAACTAACAACTCCTCCACTATTGTAACCTCAACTCCTCCATTATCGTAGCCCTTACTCCTCAGCCACAACCAGCAACAACTTCTCCATCGCAGTCCTAACTCCTCCATCAAAGCCCCAACTCCTTCATCACATCCCTAACTTACTCCATTAAAAAAAATAAAAATTAATGGGCTAATTCTTGAAACGTGAAATTGATTCAAGCATTGCGTGGATTTTGAGGTGCAAAAGAAAGAGGACGAGCAAGGGTCGCATGAGTCGAAGGCGAGGGTTTCGTAGATGAGTCAACGGCCTCTGGTCCGAGTAGTTCCAAAATGAGGGCCGATTTATGCCCATGATGGCTGATCTATGCCCACAACAGTCAGGGGGTGGAGGTTTATGGATATTGTCGGAAGAGAAAGAGTTGCAAGGCGGAAGAGTGCAGAGAAGGAAGAAGGTCTTAGCAGTCCCCCTCCTTTTCAAGCTCTCACGAAGAACTTCTGTGAAGCGATTAAACTTAGTCCCACAACGTAACCAACACTGGACTACATTAATAAATGGTCCGGTCTCATCCAGTGAGAATTAGTGAGACCAAACAAATGCACCCTATATGTGTTGGAGGACTTTAGTTTTATTAGAGAGATAATACACATGATGGTACAAATAGATGATAAGTATAACACTACCCTTAAATTTAACCGTCAAATAGTTTTTAGCACCAGTGGCATAGCCACATTAGCACAAGGAGGGGCGGCCGCCCTCCTATCATCGAAAATCACCATGAAAGGTGAGGAACTATGTTTAAATCCTCCTTCAAATAATATGGTTAATTCAAATCTTCCTTCAAATATTTGGAAAACAATTACTTTTATTAATAGTGAGTCTATTATGTGATGTTTTTATAACATACAATTTATCGACACAATTATAATTTGTTTATATTAATAAATTAAGAAAGATACTAATATTATCTGCTATCTAAAAAGTTTTGATTGTCTAAATTTTTTTAAAACATTTTATTGATTTAAATTTTGTCTCTCCCTACAACAATTTCTAGTTTCGCCGGTAGTCGGCACTACATGCATACATGTACCAAAGTACGAAGATACTGAAGAAAAATCCAGAAGACAGACAGCGCTTTTGGTTGGTTATGACGTCTAAAATTACAAGGTTTGGACTGTAGATTTTAACTGTTTAACCAAGATCTTGCTCCTCGTGCCCAATCTCTTCTCCAAAACTCTATCCCAAATCTCTCCACCTCCTCCGCCGCCTCCTTTTCCTCCTCCTCGTGCTTATCAGATTCCACGACAAAAATACCACAAAATTCCCGCCAAATAACCACAACTACCGTTTACGTACCCACATGGCAGGCCCCCATTCGGCATCCACTTACACACTACAAGTCAAAAAACAGAGATTCACAGCCCCGCGGGCCCCACCTTCCCACCACCACTAATTGATCACTCTCCTAATCCTCTCTGTACTCAAGCTGGCACCGCCGTCTACTTCTCCACTTCTACTAGATCACTACCACCACTCCCAAAATCTTCTAATCCCATTCCCAATCCCTCCTCCAAAACCCTAACCCTAATTCCCCAAACATCTGCAAATATCACTACCAAAAACAAAATTCTCACTTCAGCTCGTGCTTTTTAGTTGACTCAGGCATTTTAACAAACACTTCAACATGCTGCGGCTGCCGCGATTCACCTGCTGTTTCCTCCTTTTACTGCTCCCGTTGATCACGTGCTCGAATTCGAAGCCGACGACGGTGTACGACGTGCTGCGGGCCCACGGGCTTCCGATGGGACTGCTGCCGAAAGGGGTCGTCGATTTCGAGGTCGACGACGCCGGCAGGTTTACGGCCCACCTGGATCAGGCCTGCAATGCCAAGTTCGAGAGCGAGTTGCATTACGACAGAAACGTTTCGGGGATGCTGAGTTTCGGGCGGATCGGATCCTTGTCGGGTATTTCGGCGCAGGAGCTGTTCCTCTGGTTTCCGGTTAAGGGTATCCGGATCGACGTGCCCAGCTCCGGCATCATTTACTTCGATGTCGGCGTCGTGTATAAGCAGTTCTCGCTGTCGCTGTTCGAAACGCCGCCTGATTGCACGGCCGCCTCCGGCAGCTTTGAAGCCATTGGAACCGTTTCCAAGGTAAGTTCCAATCTAGTCTCTCATTTGTTTTGGAAATTGATAATTGGATTGATTTTTGATGAAAAATGAGACTGGAATTGTGTGATTGATTGCTTGATGTGCAGAGTAAATCGGGGAAATTGCGGTCCAAGCTCAATTATGAACTCGGTGGGAGATATTTTGTGTAGAACTTTGGAGGGAGAAGTGGTTTGGAATTGTGAGTTTTGCAGAGTCTGGATTAGTGTGTGTTGGGTTGAGTTTTTTTTTCGGTTTTCAGTGGCCAGTGAATTCGATTCGAAACCGAAGATTGGAGGAGGCAGAGTTAAAACACAGTCAGTTTGTTGTGTCTCAGCTGCAAGAAGATTGAGTGAGGCAGAAGAAACAATGTAGTCAGGTGAAGCCCAAATCAGGTGATGCATCTGCAAACAGGTTTTATGTTGTATTTTTAAGCTCATAACTGGTATCATGAAAATGGTATAAAAGCTATCAATAAAAATCCTTATGTTTTGTAGCAATTGTATGTGGAGGTTTTATTCTCGGTCTTTTCTTTTATCGATACACACGCAATGTTTTACATTAAATTAATCTAAACTAAAAGAAGCATATTATTGTGGGAAGGAGCATAACTGCTCAGTCTGCTCTAGCCGATGTGGCTACACGTAAATAGAGGAGTAAATGAGAGGAAGAGTGCTAACCCATCTTATGTTGTCTAATTCTATTTGCAAATCCAATTTCAATTGAGGATCTAACTTATTATGATTATGAATGATCAGGTCTAAAACCTTGAAGGACTCTGTGTCAGTTGTCTGAGAGAGTTAGAGCAGATGCTTTGATTGATTAGTGATGTGACTTTAATCAGAGTAAATTCCTTTTGCACTGGATTTTTGTTCCGGGAAGTTTCTGTCCGATCAAATTTTGGTTTCTTTCATCCTTCTTTTCTTCTTTGTCAGAGCAGAAGCTATGCAGATGGTATATGTGTAATATTTTGTTCATTGAGAAATGTTAGGGAGATCTTTGCCACCTCATATTTTTAGCACAATGTTTTATAATTTTAGCACGAGAAATAATGTTAAACTGTGAGGTAACAGAGAATCTAGAGAGTCCCACTTTGAATCAGTCTCCTTGGCATTTACCTTGTTCTTTTATGCAAGCAAAAATATGGGGACTTAGAATGTAAACGTAATGCTTTTAGTTACTTGAACTACGAGCCCTTTATGTGACAATTTTTCTTTCGGCTACATGTGTTATAGTTGAGGCAGACTAACAATATAGTAGGAGCTTTCTTGTGGCAGAATTTCCTATATGTCAGTATTTTGATTGGAACTGTTCCTTTAGCTTCAGTTTTTGAAGTGTTGTGCACAGGATCACTCACTGTAGAGTTTTAAGCCTTCTGCGCTCAAATTTGTATGCGGCTTCTGTGTGTCCTATTTTAGCTTTTGACATGTTTTCACACCAACTTCGGTTTTGAGAAAAGAAAAAAATAAATAAATAAAAAAGAAGAAAAAAAGAGCAAAACGCGAACTTTGATATCTTCACCATCGACTCTTACACCGAAGAGATAGTGATCTGATATGAAAATCCCCAAGTGGCAATGGACCCTTCCAACCACTACCACAAGTACGGTATCCCTTTCTACACCGCTGCTTGGCTCTCCGGCCTTGGCAAATCCAAATGACCCATACTGAATTAGCCCAATTTGATTCCGCCTCCGCTTCTCTCTAAATTTGTAGACAATATTTTATAAACTAAATGACAAGAAAGTTGATGATTCGAACATAATAAGTTGTCATTACCACTCACCCCCATGAAGCATTATTATTGAGCATCGAATCATTTAGTGCAGGCGTATCCAAGATTGTAATCATCGTATTTATAGTTGAAATTGAAAGAGACGCATGCAAGAACTCATAAAACAACAAAAGACGGGTCCCCTCTACCGGAAAATGTAGAAAGCTCGCGGACAAGGACAAGAGCATCAGTCTTAAAATTACAACAAAACCAAGGGCATTTCTGCAAAAAATAAAATCAAATTTCCCATCTTTTTCACCCTGCACGTTACCCCATCACGGACCGTCCATTTCTGTGATCCAAATTGCACCCGACTTACAGAGACCCATAAAAAGCTAGAAACCCTGTTTAACACGCACCAAAGGTCCAAAACACTTCCCCACCTTCCTTCTCTCTGTTTTTTAAATCGAATTTTATACAAATATAGTCCGTTCAGTCTATCACTTCATCTCTTCCCAACACCACCCAAAACCTCGCCGGAAACAACTGTTCTCCGGCGGAAAACCCCCTTTCGCCACCGACCCATTACCATGTCCACCACTCCCATCTCCTATCCAATAACCTCAAGACCCTTTTTTTCTCTCGCACCCGCCACCGCAGCCTCAAAACTGTTTGCACGCCCGCATTCCCACACCAAAAGCTCTCTCTTATCCTCCTATCATTTCCTCAATAGGGTATTCAGAAATGGGGCTGCTCTGTCGATAAGAGCTTGCTCGACGTCGCCGTTTATCGGCAGAGTCGGGTCGCAGAGGAGGGAAGGCAACGCGTCACTGCTGTCGTTTGGGAAAAACTCACCAGCTGAAATATCGAAAGGGGCTTCCGACAACTCGTCGTCGTCTCAGGTCTTATCTGCAATGCTTCCTTTCGTCGTTGCTGCTACCGCCATTGCTGCTCTGGCTCAGCCGTCAACGTTCACTTGGTAGGTTCTGGTTTTCTTGAATTTTTATTTGGTTTTGAATGATTGCATGTCGAACTCTTGTGGAATTAGCAAGTGGGATTCAGTTTTTTGTAGTTTATGAAAGTCCAAGTTGGATTATTTTATATAGGGATACATATTACTTTCGTTTTTGCTGGGATAATCAAGGATTAAAGTTATAAATTAATCCTGGATCATTTCAGTCAACTCTCAGTTTCTGAGAATTTGGTTTAGGAAAATTTAAAGGTCGTGAGCTGGGACTGCTTGCATGTGTTTGATGTTAGGCACATGAGAGACTTGATTTTTGTTAATTTAGTTTAACGATGTATTAACTCAAAATTAATATAGGGTATCCAAGGATTTATATGCCCCTGCTCTTGGTGGGATCATGCTGTCAATTGGAGTCAAACTGTCGATTGATGATTTTGCACTTGCATTCAAAAGGTAATATTTTTATTCAGCGTTGTGTTTATATTCTTCTCACTGTCATTTAGTTATTCTAATATGTTAGCGAGGTTTTGAGTGTGCTCCCAATATTCTTTACTTCTCATCTGTTGCAGACCTTTACCCCTCTCTGTTGGGTTTATCGCGCAGTATGTACTGAAACCGGTACTTGGGGTACTAATTGCTAACGCATTTGGCGTGCCAAGGATGTTCTACGCTGGCTTTGTCCTCACTGCTTGTGTTGCAGGGGCTCAGCTGTCTAGCTACGCTAGTTTCTTGAGCAAAGGAGACGTGGCCTTGAGCATTCTCCTCACCAGCACCACCACCATTGCTTCCGTGATCGTAACCCCTTTACTAACCGGCCTTTTAATCGGTTCTGTTGTTCCGGTTGATGCTGTTGCCATGTCAAAGTCGATATTGCAGGTAGTTGGAGTTTAGTAATACAATGTTTTACCTTCTGGGGCTATTACGCTTAAATAGACATATTGACATTGTTATTTTACATGTAGGTGGTTCTTGTTCCGGTCACAATTGGTCTTGTGCTCAATACTTATGCAAAACCAGTTGTCAATTTCCTTCGACCAGTGATGCCAGTTGTTGCTATGATATGCACTTCATTGTGCATTGGCAGTCCTCTTGCAATTAACCGGAGTCAAATTCTATCTGTAGAGGGTTTCCGGTTGATATTTCCAGTCATAGCATTTCATGCGGTGGCCTTTACACTAGGATACTGGGTATCGAAAACTCCAGGTTTGAGGTAAATCTTCCTCTGTCGTAGAATGTTAAAAGTTCGTGCTTGGAAGTCATGTTTTGTCCACTGTGAGGAAGAGTTGTGAGCCATTGGCATAACAACCTTTGTTGCCGGTTACCCTTGTTTTGCACTTTAATTCCTCCGCCACCATGTTTCAGTGGAGGTCCATAGTTAGGTGTTTATCTTTTATCCCTTGACGATCTTGCAACTGGCTTACATGTTTGATCGTTGCATCCCCAGTCTCAAATTCTGAATCATGTTATTCATTCACTCTAGCAAGTATCTAAGACTCGTCTGCTAATAGTTTCTAGGAGAGTCATTAAGCTCACTTGGTTCTAAGAAATGTTACATTTCAGAAATTTAAAGCTGGTGTCAGAAGTGTTTTAATATCCCCATGTTCCGTTATAGATAATGTTATTGTTGTCACCTCAGGCAAGAAGAAGAAGTTAGCAGGACACTTTCCTTATGTACGGGAATGCAGAGTTCCACTTTGGCAGGGTTACTTGCAAGCCAATTCCTTGGGAGCAGCCAGGCCGTTCCTCCAGCATGTTCGGTTGTTGCCATGGCCATCTTGGGCCTTTTTCTTGCATCTTTCTGGGGCACCGGCTCTCAAATCAGAGACCTTCCGTCCCTACTAACACCTCGAACAGGTTCTCCAGTGAAGGCTTAGCAATGAAAACAACAATCAGAGAACTCATGGGGCATGGATAACGCTAAGTTAGTACACACTGATGGTCGTGGTTACTAGCACAGAACATTACAAGGACGATACAACAAAAAGGAAGATCGCTGTCATGTTGAACCACCTCAACTGGTTTGGAAAGCAACTACTGCTTACAGAGCGGATCGGGAACCAAAAACAGACGGACGGCGGGAAAACATAGTTTAGGCTAGAGTTGTAAAGTTGTAAAGCTCTTGTACTATAGGTGTGTATCTTTATGTTACTTTGTAAGTAATGATCCAAAGGTATACATAAATGTTGTCCTCTCTCTCAGGCCCAACATAGATAGACATTTTATGGGCTGACTACGGAGTGCTTGTTAGTTGTGATCTTGTGAATAGTAAGAGTTCACTGTTTACACAGATTATTCCTTGTAAAATTGAAAAAAATCAGTTACTAAGGTTGGGAAGAAGGGGCTTTTGACGGACAAAGGGACCAAATGGTGTTACAATTTGCAAGTTTTAAATGTTATTTGGTCAGTTTTCAGAACGTTATAGACCTAAATAGCAGGGACGTAAGTAGTGCCCTGTTATCCCCAATGGTTTTGGCCCCTCCCGATCCCACTATTTCTCAGACCTGCAACCGTATCCTCTAACCGCGTTTCTCGGCTATCCCGGAAGGTGTATAGGGTTTTTGCTCGGGTGGTCATACCACCACCTTCCGTCTGTGTTCTTTTGTTGGCACGATTACTTGTGGGATATATTTTCCCATGAGTTTCATTCTCATGATGGCTGCAGATTTGAGTTTTGTGGCATGATGAAGGTGGGTGGAACCTACTTGATTTTCGATTTGGAGGCTTCGTTTATCTGGATTCCGGTGCCTGCAAGAGGCTGTGTTTCGTGGTCGATGGTGTCATGTACTTAAAGAGTTTTTTTGTTTTTCTTATGTTTTTGGGATTCATATTTTAATTTTGGGCTTTATTTGTAATTAGATTCTAATATGTAAATGTTTATTGTTTTGATAATGAAAAATTTACCTTTGGACCCCAAAAAGAAAAAGAACAGCTGGAAGGTAAAATGTTAATGCTTTGATTTTGTTATACTACTTAACCCTGTGTGTTTGTGGTAGTTTTCAATTGAGGCAATTCCACATTAAAACCACACTGGCCAGATTCTTTGTTTTTGTTTTTTTGTTTTTTTTATTTTGAAAATATGTCTTTAGCCCCTGAAACTCAATTTTCTCCACAAAAAACCCGACATAAGATTTTTACTTAAACAAAACCCATTAACTAGATTCCACATAAGCAAATTCATTAATTATGTTTGCCTTTATACATTTAAAAGTTTTTGGATGCCTAAACTACCCCTATTTTAATGTTTGATGCGGAATGTAAGGGAGAATTAATGATTTTGCAAAAATAAAAAAAATAATGTTATAAATTCATTGCCTAATATATAATAACAATATGTGACATCCCACATCGCCCAGGGAAGTGATCCTTAAATGTATATTCCCATCCCTACCTAGCACGAGGCATTTTGGGAGCTCACTGGCTTCGGGTTCCGTAGGAACTCCGAAGTTAAGCGAGAAGAGGGCGAGAGCACTCCCAGGATGGGTGACCCATCGGGAAGTTCTCGTGTGAGTTCCCAGAAACAAAACCGTGAGGGAATGGTAAGCCCAAAGAGGACAATATCGTGCTACGGTGGTGGAGTGGGCCTGGGAAGTGGTCCCCCCCGGGCCGGAATGTGACAATTTGGTATCAAAGCCTAACCCTGGTCGTGGTGTGCCGACGAGGACGTCGAGCCCCTAAGGGGGGGTGGATTGTGACATCCCACATCGCCCAGGGAAGTGATCCTTAAATGTATATTCCCATCCCTACCTAGCACGAGGCCTTTTGGGAGCTCACTGGCTTCGGGTTCCGTAGGAACTCTGAAGTTAAGCGAGAAGAGGGCGAGAGCACTCCCAGGATGGGTGACCCATCGGGAAGTTCTCGTGTGAGTTCCCAGAAACAAAACCGTGAGGGAATGGTAAGCCCAAAGCGGACAATATCGTGCTACGGTAGTGGAGCGGGCCCGGGAAGTGATCCGCGTCACATCCCGGCCCGGGTGGCACCACTTCCCGGGCCCGCTCCACCACCGTAGCACGATATTGTCCGCTTTGGGCCCCGACCACGCTCTCACGGTTTTGTTTCTAGGAACTCACACGAGAACTTCCCGATGGGTCACCCATCCTGGGAGTGCTCTCGCGCGCTACTCGCTTAACTTTGGAGTTCCTACGGAACCCAAAGCCAGTGAGCTCCCAAAAGGCCTCGTGTTAGGTAAGGATGGGAATATACATTTAAGGATTGCTCCCCTGGGCGATGTGGGATGTCACAATCCACCCCCCTTAGGGGCCCGACGTCCTCGTCGGCACACACGCAACCAGGGTTAGGCTCTGATACCAAAGTCAACCCATCCTGGAAGTTCTCGTGTGAGTTCCCAGAAACAAAACCGTGAGGGCGCGGTTGGGGCCCAAAGCGGACAATATCGTGCTACGGTGGTGGAGCGGGCCCGGGAAGTGGTGTGCCCCGGGCCGGGATGTGACACAATAAAACATGTGTAATATATGCAATAATTCATGCTTAATAAGGTCAATAAAAATATTATACTAATAAAAAAATTAATGTTATAAATTCATTACCTAGTATTTATACTAATCAAAAAATTAATGTTATTTGATTCAAATAGTGCACCTACTATTAAAATTTTAAAATGTTAGATTGCTTAAAAAAAGCAACATAATTTACCCAATATATGTAAAATACATGTGAAATAATTTAGTACATGATAAAGCAAACCCAATATCTGCAAAATACATGCAAAATAATTTACCTACATAATAAAACAATGTTATTTTATACAATACTAATTTAACTATTATTTGTACATATAATAATAAAATGTGCCCAATATATATGATATTGATACATGCAAAATAAAATACCTATATAATAAAGGAATGTTATTTGATTCAAAATTCATTTACTTACAAAACAAAGTAATGTTATTTGATTAAAATTAATTTACCTAGTATTTATACATATATCTTATAATAATAAAATTTACCAAATATATATATATATATGTAATAGTACATGGAAATAAATTGCCTACAAATGAAGGAGTTCTATTTGATTCAATATTAATTTACCTACAAAATATAAGTTATTTGCTAATCATAAATTTACATATAGGTAAATTAATTAGTATAATATTTTTATTGACCTTATTAAGCATGTATTATTGCATATATTACACATGTTTTATTGTTATTATATATTAGGCAATGAATTTATAACATTATTTTTTTTATTTTTGCAAAATCATTAATTCTCCCTTACATTCCGCATCAAACATTAAAATAGGGATAGTTTAGGCATCCAAAAACTTTTAAATGTATAAAGGCAAACATAATTAATGAATGTGCTTATGTGGAATCTAGTCAATGGGTTTTGTTTAAGTAAAAATCTTATGTCGGGTTTTTTGTGGAGAAAATTGAGTTTCAGGGGCTAAAGACATATTTTCAGTAAGATCATATTATGTCCATATCCAAATCAGATCGCGTGTCTTGCTAAACAAGTATGGTCATCCAAAGTGATTCAGCCTAGTGTCCCGGAGTAGAGTGATGGTGGTATCGCTACTTTGTCTGACACAGCTTTGCTGTATACAGATCAAACTTACTTCGGCCTTGGAAAATCATGGTCCCACAAATAATAGAGAGATTAAGAGAGGGGGTACATCACGCATAGAGAGTGAATTAGGAGGTGTGTTTTCTCACTTCCATTGTGCCTTTATTTATAATAGTAGTGAAAGTTAATTCCTTACCAAATAGGATTGCAACTTTAATAGGATAATATCTAAATATAAGATATGGTAGAATCCCACAAAGATATCACAAGATAATATAGAATTTATACAATCACATTCCTAAACTATTAAGACTGCAACAATAGTAAAGTTTTTATTGATTTTTTAGTGAATAATTTTTTTTGGGTTAAATTATGAATATTTTCTTATTTATGCTTGAGATTCCTTAAAAGGGGTTATTTGAGGAACACGTTAAACTATATTTAGTTATATAGTCTGTACATGCACATCACCACCACCAAATGGTGGATAATTAAATCGAGATGGAGAAATATAACAGAAATTTCTCATATATATTTGAGATGGCCTGGGATCTCTCTCTCTCTCTCTCACACACACACACATATATATATATATATATAATTTCGCATTGAACAATGAAAGACTGTCATAAAATGATAATTAATTAATGGGCAACTCTTGACTTAGCATGCAATACTCTGCTGTAAGTCAATAATAACTACTTGTACAAAAATACAAAAAACCTAAAACGCGTCTTAGACATCTCACTATCTATAAGTAGTTATATCGGAACAAAGGAGCCAAACTTGTAAATCGATCTGATACAATATGGTTTTTGAAGTTTGTTTTTACTGCGGGAAAAGAAAGGTTGAGGGGCATGTGTGCCCTAAAATTAAACCGGATAATGGCTGTTTCATGATTGACAAGGTTTTTAATGATGAACCGTCGGTTTATCTGGATGATGTGGTTATTGATGAGGATGTAAAGGTGTGCTTGGAAAATGATGTGACCATATCCAACTGTAGTGAGGAGAAGTACACGGAAGTCAAGGAAGCCGGGCAACGTGTTGAGGATGTAGGCTTGATGAGGAGGGATAGACTACAGTTGTCCTAAGATGGAGGAAGAAAGTAGATAAAAGGAAAATGGGTGAAAGCTCTATTGATGAAAGGTCGTACAGAGATGTGGCTGCTTCTCCTAAACCTAAATAGGTGGCTAAGGCTGATATTGTGCAGGATTGGCGAAGGGCAATAAAAATCAAAGGAGAGGGAGCAGCAGGTAAGTGGAAACACAGAGGTTTTTCAAGGCATCGAAAAAAATAAGTCCCACGCTGCCATGAATTACTTAACTGATTGAAATTTGTTTGATTTACTAATGTTTGAAGATTTGGTTGAGTCTTTGCTTCCATTTGAGCCTTGCCATAACACTGACTTTAGACTCGGAAAGTTAAATTTCTTTGATGCAATGTGTGTTTTGACTCAAAATCAGGATGTGATGATGAAACATGTTGGAAGTGGTGAGTCGGAAGCTAGGAAGACCTTGGGTAGCTTTGTTGTGGCTATGCTTATGGTCGAGGTAGCATCTATGAGTGCTAAGCCAACTGTTGGTTTGCTCAGTCCAAGAAAACGCGTCCGTGAAGAAGAAGATGTTGAAGCTGGTCTGTCGACTTATCTTGAAGAACTTGACTGATAAAGGGTATCATGTGGAATTGTAGGGGTTAGGGTAGACCGAAATTTACTAGTAATTTTAGTTTTCTTAATAGCTTGGTTAAGCTTGATTTCTTTTGTGTTGTAGAAACTAAATCTACTGTGGACAAGGCCCCCGTTAGTTGTTTTAGAAGGTTTTTTTTTATCAGTGTTTTGGTTTTAACCCTGAGGGGAGATCAGGAGGCATTTTTATTTGTTGGAATGCTAGTGCTATTAATATTAATGCGATTGCTGCTTCTTCTAGGTTATTCACGTTCTAGTGAAAGATGTGCTTGATAATATTGAGTATTTTGCTACTTTTGTCTACATCAATCCTCAAAAGTCGCTCCATGATAAGTTGTGGGAGAAGTTCCTAGCCCTAAACCCTGGTAATAAGCCCCGAATGTTGTTAGAAGATTTTAACAATATTACTTGCATTCAGGAAAAATGGGGAGGGGTTCAGAATGTCCATGCAAGTTCAATTCATTTTGTGGATTTTCTTAATTAGGCGGGACTTATTTCGTTACAAGCTTCAGGTGTTCTATTTACCTGGACTAATAAACACAAGGATAACTCTTTTATTTTTGAGAGATTGGATAAGGTCGTTGCCAACTCCTTTTGGTTAGAACTGCACTCTGGTTATGTTCTTCACAACTATCCTATTCTAGGGTCTGACCATAGTCCTTTGTTGCTTAACACCATTGGTTTCCTAGTTATTAGTAGGAAGAAGGGTTTCAAGTTTGAGGCCATGTGGAATCTCTATCCTGAGTTTAAACAATTTGTTAAAGGGGTGTGGCATTCTAGTGAGGGGTTGTCCCCTCTAGATCATTTCAGGGGCTGCTTAAGTACCTTCGTTTTTCTTGTTAAAAGATGGAATTGAATGGTGTTTGGTTCGGTCAAGGAGAAAAAAGATAAACTTTTAAGGGAACTGGATGTTATCTAGAAGGAATTGATGTCTGCAAACTACAATGATAACTCTTTAAATCATGTTAATGAGAAAGTTCACCTTGAGGCTTAAATTAATGATAAACTCTCCCAAGTCCTTAAGGAGGAGGAAATGATGTGGGTGTGGGCGCAAAAAGTAAAGTCTAATTGGTTAAAGCATGCTAATAAGAATACTAGGTTTTCCCAACTTTGTGCGACTATTAGGAGAAAGAGAAATGAAATTAATAAAACCTGTTGATTTTTCTGATTTGAATTGTAATGTATTTCATATCTTAGAAAGCCTTATGGAAGGCATACTTATACACAATACTAAGAAAACTTGAAAGCTTTACACCCTACACACTTGTAATCTGACAGCACATATGCACTTGCACGTTCCTTGCTGTGCTGTCTGTGCACTTTCCTTGCTGTACTTGATGTGTTGTTCTTGCTGTGCTGTCTGTGCACGTTCCTTGCTGTGCTGTATGTGCACGTTCCTTGCCGTTTTCTTCCAATACTCCCCCTCAAGCTGGATCCAGTAGGTTGATGGATCCAAGCTTGGAGAGGAGTCTTTGAAACTGATGAGAAGCCAGAGGTTTGGTGAATATATCAGCCAGCTGATCGAGGCTTTTTACATAATGTGTCTGAATCACCTGCGACTGTACTTGTTCACGGACATAATGACAGTCGACTTCAATATGCTTCGTCCTCTCGTGAAAGACGGGGTTTGATGCTATGTGCATGGCAGCCTGGTTGTCACAGAATAAGGTCATTGGTTGAGCTGTGAACACACCTAAGTCACATAAAAGTCCTTTTAGCCATATCAGCTCACACGCGGTTGAGGTCATTGCACGATATTCAGCTTTGGCACTTGATCTTGCGATGACAGTTTGTTTCTTGCTCTTCCACGTGACCAGGTTTCCACCAACAAAGGTACAATGACTTGCGATCGATTGCGTTTCCTGCCCAATCAGCATCACAGTACCCCATGATTTGAGTGTTGTCATTCTTTGCCATGAGGATGCCACGACCAACAGACCCTTTTAAGTAACGTAAGATTCTTTTGACAAGGTTCAAATGCTCGATGGTGGGAGAGTGCATGAACTGACTGGCAATACTTACTGAATGTGAGATGTCTGGTCTGGTGATCGTTAGGTAGATCAGCTTGCCGACAAGCCTCTGATATAAGCTGATATCCGAGAGTGGCGTGCCTCCCAAGTCAAGCTTGAGCTTGCTATCAAGAGGGGTAAGTGCAGGCTTGGCATCACTCATATTGGCATCTTTAAGTAGGTCCATGACTTACTTTCGTTGATTAAGAAATAGTCCCTTGTAAGAAGATGCCATTTCGATTCCAAGAAAATACTTCAACACCCCAAGATCTTTAACCGCAAATTGTTGTTGAAGTGACTGTTTGAGTGTGGTGATTTCAGCAGCATTATCACCTGTAATTATTAAGTCATCCACATATATCAACACAACTAATTTGCTTGCAGCTCTTGTGCGAACAAATAATGATGAATCTGCATTACTCCTTTTGAAACCAATGCTATGAAGAACGGTACTTAGTTTTGCATACCAAGCACGTGGTGATTGCTTCAGTCCATAAATTGACTTATGTAACTTACACACCAAATTAGGCTCTTGGCTTTGAGGGTGTCCTGGTGGCAATCTCATATAGACTTCTTCTTCAAGATCACCATGTAGAAAGGCGTTCTTCACGTCCATTTGATACATAGACCAACCTTTATTGACGGCAACAGACAATAGAACCCTTACTGAGTTCATTTTTGCAACAGGAGCAAATGTTTCCTTGTAATCCACCTCAAATGTTTGAGTGAATCCTCGAGCCACCAGCCTGGCTTTATGCCTCTCAATCGAACCATCAGAATTAAACTTGATCTTATAGATCCACTTACAGCCTACTGCCTTTTTTCCTTGTGGAAGTTTGGTGATGCTCCAGGTTTTGTGTTGGTCTAGTGCTTTGAGTTCTTCTCTCATTGCTTCTTTCCACACAACTTGATTATTAGCCTCATAAAAGTTTTGAGGCTCACTGTGACTTGAAATGTTGTTAAGAAAGGCAGCATGAGATGGAGTTACCTTTTGATACGACACGCAATTTGAAATTGGATGCCTCGGTTTATATGTGACAAAATCTTGAAACCTTGTGGGAGGTTGTCTATCACGCCGAGGATTGCGTCGAGGTACTAGGAGGTTTGTCTCATCCTCATTCAAATTGTCATCCACTCCTTGAGGATTTTCTATGTTGCCGTTGTCATCATCATGCACCGAGTCATCATCATGCACATAATTATCAGGATGAGTACCTTTATTATTGACTTCAATGGGAGGTGTAGAAGTACATATTCTTGGTAGAGGAATTAGGTCTAAGATGCACTCCCCCTGACTTGTGGCTTCATGTGATTTGCTGAAAAAAGGGTTAGCTTCATGGAATCGTACATCTTTAGATACAATTATTTTTCTTAGTTGAGGATCATAGCACTTATATCCTTTTTGTGTTGATGAATAACCAAGAAAAATACATTTGAGAGCTCTAGGGTCCAACTTATCTCGATGGTGTGACTGTATATGAACAAAACAGACACAGCCAAAGACTCTAAGATGTGAAAGGTCGATTTTTCTTCCTTTCATGACTTCAAGTGGAGATTTAAACCCCAAGACTCGACTAGGAAGTCTATTGATGATGTACACAGCCGCCATGACTCCTTGTGACCAAAATCTCTTTGGTACGTTCATTTGTAACATTAATGCTCTCGTTTTTTCCAGAATGTCATGATTTTTCCTTTCAGCTACACCATTTTGTTGAGGTGTGCCGACACAACTTGTTTGATGCATGATACCATGCTTGCTCAAATATAATGACATGATATGGGACATATATTCGGTGCCATTGTCAGATCTTAAGGTTTGAATTTGAGAGGAAAAATGGTTCTTAACAAGATTGTGAAAATCCTTAAAAACTTCAATCACTTCACTCTTAGACTTTAAAAGGTACAACCATATGACTCTAGAGAAATCATCAACAAAAGTTACATAATACTTATAACCATCAAAAGATTCAAACGTTGGTCCCCATACATCTGAGTGAACTAGTTCGAAAACTTTATTAGTCCTAGATAAGGATGAGGTAAAAGACAATCTGGTGGCTTTAGACAAATGACATGTTTCACACGAAATTAAATCATTACCTAAGTTTGGAAACAAGGAAGACAAAACAGGTTGGGAAGGATGAGCTAAACGTTGATGCCATAATTGACTATCTTGGGATGGACTGGACTTGGCTTGAAATCCTCTGGGACTGTTTTTTGATATGTAATAGAGGCCATCAAGGTAAAACCCTTCACCAATCGTCTTCTTGGTGAGGCAACCCTGAAAAATGACATTGTGAGGAGAGAAAATGGCCAAACAATTTAAGGTATTGGTGATTTTTCCCACAGATAGAAGTTGAAATGGAAAAGAAGGAACAAATAAGGCTACTGACTCAATTTTGTCCGATATTAAGTTGATATTTCCCTTCCCTAAAACCTTAGAACTCTCACCATTGGCAGTTGAGACTTGAGACGGTTTTGAAAATTTTTCAAACTTGTGAAACTTAGAAACATGGTTGGTCATATGATCTGTGGCACCCGAATCAACAATCCACAAATCATGCATCATATTTACATTAAGAGCAGTTTTAAAAGCAGTAATGATACCTTGCATGTCATCTTGGGCCATGTGTTGTGTTTCTGTCAGAAATCCAGCAAACTTGCCTAGCAAAGCTATTGAACTTCCATCTTCAAAGCCGACCGTTTGGTCACTCTTAATCCTTTCTTTCTTGCTTTGAAGATACACTGCAAACTCATTTATGAGTGCAGCTGGATTTGCAGTGAAGCTCTTGAGTGCATCAGACCTATGAGAGGTTGAGGTAGTTGCATTGTTGGCTCTATGTAGTGCACGGTTCAGTCTCTGTGAGCCCTTGTTATCCTTCATGAACTCTGGCTTTAATTCTGGATGTAAAATCCAGCATGTCTCCTTAATGTGACCAGTATAGTTGCAGTGTTGGCACTTTAAGTGTGGATTCTTCACTTTGTATTTTCTTTCGTTGGCTAGATAAGCCCTTGCTTCAGTTACACTGGTCTTTGTGCCAGTGTTCATGACTTTCCTTCGTACTTCTTCACGTTGGATTGTTGCACATACGCTGGTGAAGGAAGGTAGTTCGGGGTTTATGAGTATGTGGCTTCGTAGGTCTTCGTATCCTGGATCGAGACTTGACAAGAGTTGGAATATCTTGTCTTATTCTGCCCTTTTCAGTAGTAAAGACGCCTCAGTTGTGTGAGGCCGATACATTTCCAGCTCATTCCACATGCTCTTCATGCTGCCTAGAAGTTGAACAAAGGGCTTTCCTTCTTGTTGTATGTTGGAAATGTTCTTCTTCAATTGAAACACACGTGCAGCATTGTTCTGGCTGCCATACATTTCCTTGACTGTCTGCCATAGTTTGAATGATGATTCAGAATAACTGAATATTTCAGCTAGTTTACGTTCCATGGAATTTAGGAGCCATGACATAACTAGCTGATCCTTGCAAAGCCAGATTTCATAAGTTGGTGAAGAAACATCAGGAACTTCGATGCTTCCATTTATGAACCCTAGCTTGGACCTTCCACCTAGGGCAAGACTCACTGCTCTTGACCAAGGTAAGTAATTAAACTCATTTAACAAGACCGAGCTTAATCTTTGATTTGGATTGACATCCACCTCAAACACGGTTGAGGAGGAAGGTATCTGGGAATCTCCAAACGAATAAGAATTCTCTTCCGCCATATAAAGACCTATAAGAATAAAGAAAGAATTTTTCTTCCTTTTTTTTTTTTTTTTTTTTAGTGAAAGCTAATATAAAATTAAATTAAAAAACTAGGGGAACAGAAAATATATTTATATCAGCTTTACTCCTGGCGATCTCCTCCCTCCCGAGGGTCTTGAAATCGAACAAGCACGCGTGCTTCTCGGGGTACCTGTGAACCCCGCAGAACGTGGTCCCGCACCTGCACTTGAACCCGGTCAACCCGACCCGTTTCCTGCAAACGGTGCACCGGTTCGGCTGCGACACCACCACGGAGTTAGTTTGGATCTGGCAATTGCAGAATGCCCATGTACGCCGAGGCTTTGAGCAGCGTCTCGAGTTCTAGCTCCTTTGCGCCGTCAACGGTCACCAAGGTCCCGCCTTTGCTCTGTTCCTGCTCTTGCTGCCGTTTGCTTTCGTTACCCTTTTGCGGATTCTGCTCTGTCTGATATTCTTCGGAATCAGAGGCTATCGTGTCGGAGCTTGGTGACAGAGGAACTAAAACAATACTTCAGACCCGAGTTCTTGAACAGGTTGGACGAAATGATTGTTTTCCGTCAACTCACCAAGCTGGAGGTAAAGGATATAGCAGATATAATGCTCAAGGAGGTATTCGAAAGGTTGAAGAAGAAGAAGATAGAGCTTCAAGTGACGGAGAGGTTCAGAGACAGAGTGGTTGACGAAGGATACAACCCGAGCTACGGAGCCAGGCCTCTAAGGATACAACCCGAGCGAACGACATGGATAAGATGATGCAGAAGCAGGTTTTTTTTTTTCTGCTCTGATACCATGTTGATTTTTCTGATTTGAATTGTAATGTATTTCATATCTTAGAAAGCCTTATGGAAGGCATACTTATACACAATACAAAGAAAACTTGAAAGCTTTACACCCTACACACTTGTAATCTGACAGCACACATGCACTTGCACGTTCCTTGCTGTGCTGTCTATGCACTTTCCTTGCTGTGCTTGCTGTGCTGTTCTTGCTGTGCTGTCTGTGCACGTTCCTTGATGTGCTGTATGTGCACGTTCCTTGCCGTTTTCTTCCAATAAAACCAGAGATGACAATCGTATCTGGTGGTATAAGGGTGAGGGATTGGAGCAAGTCTTTGTTCAAGAATTCAAATTGAGGTTCACTAATCGATCTAATCCCCTAACTACTGAGCACTCAATTAAACTTGATCTCTCAAGTAATAAAACCTGGCATTTCAATTGGTCATAATACTAAGTTATCTGAAGTCCTTTCAAATAATGAAATCTAGAATGCTGTCAAGCATTTGAGCTCTTAAAGCCCCAAGTTTGGATGGCATCCATGCGAGTTTCTTCCAGGAATGCTAAGAGGTGGTGTGGCCTTTAGTTTACGAGATGGTAAAAGATTTTTTTCTTTTTTTTTTTTTTTTTTTGTAAATAACACAAGTTTAAAGTTAATCAATCACACTAATATAGCCCTT